ATCATCCGCCGCTTCTGTCGGCACTCCCACCACTTGGCCCTTCTTTTTGAAGTTCCTCAGTGCCCCACGCAGACGGCTTCCGGCTTGAATACGTTGGGCAGTTGTCAGCTAGCAGTCCTTGTTTTTTCTTGTTTTCATATCTCCCTTTAGAGATGACGGTTTTGTATTTTCATGGTTCAAAGAAACTTCCTGTCGCCGGGCAGGTGAATAAATCAGAACGAGTGAGCTTGCTTGCGGCGGTTTAAAATTAAGTCAAACTGTTCAGGAAGGAAGGATGGGGGTAAACTTTAATGAGGATCTCGCAATCCCTGCCGGGTATTAACTCTCTTTTACGAAATAGCAGACTTGATACTTGGAGTTTGTAAGTGCTTTGCGGCTGGTACGGAGCTAGTGAATTTGGCCAGCATCGTGACGGAAGGTGGATGTTGGTAAAAATGGGGACCATGGCGGCAGTAGTAGAAGTAGTAGTAGTAGTAGCAGCAGTAGTAGTAGTAGTAGAGAAGTAGTAATAGTATTAGTAGTAATAGTAGTAGTAGTAGTAGTAGTAGTAGTAGTAATAGTAGTAGTAGTAGTAGTAGTAGTAGTAGTAGTAGTAGTAGTAGTAGTAGTAGTAGTAGTAGTAGTAGTAGTAGTAGTAGTAGTAGTAGTAGTAGTAGTAGTAGTAGTAGTAGTAGTAGTAGTAGTAGTAGTAGTAGTAGTAGTAGTAGTAAAAGTGGGGACGATGGTGGCAGTAGAACGCGGTGTCAAGACATGGCCAAGAAGACCGGAGGTGGGGGAGGGCGCAGACGAACGGCGCGGCCGAGTCCGCACCTTGGCGCTCCACTCCACACCCTCCGGTTCACTACAAACACTTGACCAGGATTTTAACCAGCAAAAGAACCACAGCGGGTCAGAAGGAGGAGACTGACTGGGCAGCCATGCCCACCACCTATGTACCAGCGCATCTACCGGCAGGGAGCCAGGTGCCAGAGAACTGCCAGGCTGCAAGGGCCATGATTTTCTGATAGAATAGGTTAATTAATATAGCACCTCCTGGGCGCTGTCAGTCTCCTTTGAACACAGAAAAAAAATCTAAACAAAACTCATTCCTTTCCACTGCACTTTGACTTCATGTCTTTCGGGTGTCTGCCTAGTCAATAGAGCGCGAGTTGGGAACTGGCGTGGCAGACGCTTTCAGGCCTTAAACTCCACCCAAGTAATGTCGAAAGACTTGACATGCTGCATCCTAGCATTGTTGGTGGTCAGCCTGCCAAAACCTATGTCGAACTCCAGCTGCGCCGTGGTTACTCTTGTGCACGCGCGTCTTACGAGAGCCAACCAAGTCATTCTACTCCGGAAGGGTGTGTGTGTGTGTGTGTGCAGCCATGCCGGCAGCCGTCACCGCATGCACCACACGTGAGAAACGCATTGACAAGTGTACTCGGAGGGGGGCGGGGGCGTTAATGGACGACTCGAAGTCGGTGCAGCGGGACTCAACTGCCAGCAGGGCCTGGAAACGCCCTTCGAAATTCAGAGCAGCGTGCAAACCGCTAGACTGCGCACTTGAGGGCATCGCCCTGCGCCGTGCTAATACACCACACGCCGTCGTCCAGCGTGCCAATCATCATCAGCAGCAGCTCCACCATCACCGAAACGGGCCGCGACACTGCCGACCTATCCTGTCCATACTGTCTCCGCATGGTTGCCTCACCCGTCGGCCTGGTCGATCACTTTCGGATCCATCGTACAGAGACCGGCGAACCAGTGTTTGGAGCACCAACGCACACATGTAGGTAATAAAACGGTCTATGGCGTGTAGAATTAGAAAGAACAAAGTAGCCGCAAGAATGCAGCATGACGAGAACTTGACATTGAAAGTTGTGTAACTTCCTTGGTGCATTAAAAGGAAACGCTTCTCCATGTCACAACAATACTCCCCCTTCCACGACAACAGAGTTTGGATATGAAAAATGGGTGTGAATTAAGCAAGTTTTAGGCAATGGTAGAGGGACGCTCACCGATAGTTTTTACGGAACTCACTCGTTCCGTTGTGCCTTACGGGCTCTCTCGAGCCCAACCAGCAGCCGCACAGCGGCGCATGATCTGGGCAGAATGGTATTACCGACAAAGACAAGGGAGACGTGAATGGCCATTTCTGGCGTATTAGCTGTCGTTAGCCAGTCATAACCAAACCCGAAGTGTGGAACACCCGAGGCTCGAACTCGCGACCTGTTAGTTAGAAGTCCACGCCTCTAACCACTGGGCCAGGAGCCAGTTGCTCTGTCGGTTTTCGATCCGGAATATACAGTGGTAGAGGGACGCTCACGGATCGGTGTTACGGAACTCATTCGTTCCGTTCTGCCTTGCGGGCTCTCAATCGAGCCCAACAAGCAGCCGCACAGCGGCGCATGATGAAGGCAGAATGGCATTACCGACGAAGACAAGACAAGGCTTAATGTACAAGTTGGTAACGATCAGGGAAACAGACACGACGACCGCTGTGCCTAAGGGGTGGAATCTGGAGGAGAGGGGAAAGCACAGGGTTATCGGGTGGAGGCGGGGTGATCGCAGAAGGCATTGTGGCAGGTGAAGAAGTCTGGTCTGTTGGGGTGGGCGAAGAAAGGTCGGTATGGGCCACCTTCAACCGATCGATAGATACCACTTCGGTGTGATCGCCACGGATGACCTCAAAATGCTTGCCCTCCCGCGACAGGACTCGAAATGGTCCGTCGTAGTGGCTTGCAAACGCTATCTACGCGGACAAATACAAAGGAACACGTTAGCAAGTCAGGGTCAATATATGACGTCTCGGAGGTCGGTGGTGATATCCATTGGGAGTGCTGCCACAACACAGTGAAATTTTGTATCCTCTCGTGTAATCTGGCGCAGGGCGCAACGGAACTCTACGACGCGCAGCCACAAGGCGATGTCACCAAGCCACACGGATGGCAGGTCAAAGGTGTTAATGCCGGCTATCGGCTGACTGGCAGAATCGTTGGACATGATTAGCCGATGTCGGTCAGAGGTCAGATACTTGGGGTAGATGACTGGCGCGTTGACAGTGAGAGTTAAGGATGGCACTCTTATTGGATGAAAAGGTGTGGCAGAGTGAATAGCAAATAAGGGCTAGATAAATAATCTGATCAATAAGAAGTAAAGTGAGGACTAATCCGAATGGGAATAGTTATACACAGAAATGAAACAGAAGGAGCTATGAACGATACAGGGTCACCAATGTAAGTAATAAACCGGTCTATCGCGAGTAGACTTAGAAAGAAAATGGTAGCCGCAAGAATGCAGCGTGACGAGAATTTAATATTGAAAGTTTTGTAGCTTCCTTGGCGCATTAAAAGAAAGCGCTTCTTCATAGCACTGCAAGCTCGCCGCATCCGCCTCAACTGCTCTCAGTGCAACCACACATTTACTTACCGCCTATTAGGACACATGCGCGTTCACGAAAACCTGCGGTATACAACCACCGACTACGCCACATCATCACACGTTCCCCAACCAAAAAATGAACCGTATAACAAAATCACCCATCATAAGCACCCAATTGCCACCCCCCGCGCAAATGGGAAGTATACGACTTGGCTCCTTCGTCATGCGGCCACATATAAGATCCGAGTCTGAGACTATCATGGTGAGCCAAGCCCCGTGGCATGGAAGGCTGCCGACTGACGCCTCAACATAGTCCATGCAGTCAGCTCAGTTGTGTGTGTGTGTGTGTGTTTGTGTGGAGTGATGGACTGGTTGACTGAGAGCCAGGCTGCCACGGCTCCGTCTTAAGTGGTCTGTGATACTCTCACGCCTGTGAGGGGTGTGTGTGTGTGTGTGCTTTATGGGTAATGCATCTCAGTCGAGGACTGTGGTTACTCAGCCTTGAAGGGTGACGACCCAGGCAAATGCAAGGCCACGTGTCTAGAGGTCGGTAAGCGTGTGCTATGCCACTATCGGCAAACCATGGCCCTCGCAGCCTGGTATGCGCTGACAGTTCTCCGACACCGGTAGATGCGCTGGCGCTCTCGCTGGATCGTGAGCAGATCATCCTCCTCCTTCTGACCCGCTGTGGTTCTTTTGTTGGCTAGAATCCTGGTCAAGTGTTTGTTGTGAACCAGAGGGTGTGGAGTGGAGCGCCAAGGTGCGGGCTCGGCCGTGTCATTCCCCCGCTCCCCCCCCCTCCGCCACCTCCTGTCTTCTTGACTCTGTCTTGACAGCGGAGCCAGGTGGGTGAGGAGGATAGGGTGCAGTAGATGCTACGCAAGTCTGCTGTCACTAAAAACTAATTCACGCGCAAGTCACCGTGCCTGCTCTCACTTTGCTGTGGAGAACACCGGGACATTGTCGTATGCGATGTTTGAGCAGTCATTTTTCCAACCGTTCGGCTTTATTCGAGCCTCCACATCAGCCAGGATGGGGTCACTAATGCATGCGACGGACACCGTTTGTTTCATGTGGACTGAGGCAAGGAGCACTGGTTAATCGCGATCCTCGTAATTCTCTCGACCCGCAGGGCTATCAGATGCCAAAAGCTGCCATTTTAAAGTGCACCAAAGTAACGTTCTATGCAAATATCCGAGTGCACGCATGCCGGCCATACCGGTGGGCGTCTTGGAGTTCGTCAATAATCTCCTCTGTCTCCTGCTACTATATTTAAACTCGCGGTGATCGTCGTTTTGGTTTAGCAAGCGCAGACTTAAACATCGCGCCCCCAGCCAGACGTTTTTGGACACGGGAGTACAGTGTAGGTAATTTACAGTTGGTCACTTAATTCAAAACAGATGCGTCAGTTCACGAAAAATTTGCTATACCTCGGAGGCCGCAGGTGTTGTTACCTGCCCATCAGCCAGACAGATCTCATCACGAGGTCGGGGAGACCTGACATCTTAACTTCGGACCCCAGGGTTGTAGAGGCCGGTGTTCCTCTCCGGCCCATCGTGTCGCTCAAAGGGACTCCAACTTACGGACTGACTAAATGGCTGTTCTGACGTCTCAAGTTCCTGACCGCTGAGTCAGACACCATGGTCTCTTCGTCAGCAGAATTCCTGGAGAAACTCAAAGGGGTAAGCCTCCATCCAAATGAGGTCATGGTATCTTTTGATGTTACATCCCTTTTTACTTCTATTCCCCAGGATCTGGCGATCGAGACAATTGAGCTGCTTCTACAAAGCGGATACGATGAAACGGAGAATCGTCTTGGACGCGTCCAAGTCTTTCAGCTCCTGAAGTTCTGTCTCTGGACGTAGTTCACGTTCGACGAGACAATCTACGAACAGGTGAAGGGCACACCAGTGGGTTCGCCGATTTCGGGGACCATCGCCGAGGCGGTCCTGCAACGGTTAGAGTCGCTGGTCGTCCAACACAACAAACCGAAGTTCTGGGCCCGGTACGTGGATGATGCCTTCGTCATCATCGCACGGGATCAAGTGCTGACATTCAAAGAACATCTCAGCCCCGTCTTCCCGGACATATAATTTAACATGGAGGAGGAAGAGAACAACCGGCTGGCCTTCCTAGATGTCCTCATATGCCGCAAAGATTGTGGTGGACTAAAGATTAAAGTGTTCAGGAAAACGACAAATACGATGCAAGTACTGAACTTCAACAGCAACCAACCAATCAGACTCAAACGCAGTTGTGTAAGGACGCTCTGTCGGCGTGTTGAAACGCACTGCAGTGAGCCGGAAGACAAGATTGCCGAACCACAATATCTCCGACGGGTCTTCAAAACCAATGACTACCCGCGCAACTTCGTCAACCGGTGCATACGTAAAAGGGATGAAAAGCCTAACCGCACGGACACAAAAGTTTGGCGAGCGATTCCATATGTCAAGAACGGTTCGGAAGCTGTTGGAAGCCTTCTCGCACCACTTGGGGTTGGAGTGGCACACAGACCGGAGGCAACCATCAGGCGTCAGTTATTGAAACCGAAAGACCCACTGTCACGGCAAGAAACGTCTGGAGTCGTTTATCGGATCAGGTGCAGTTGCGGACAAAGCAACTACGTCGGAGAAACCGGAAGACAACTCCAAACGCGAATGGCCGAACACGCGGCAGCGGTGCTGAGAAATGACGCTAGCGCCCAAGTTGCGGCTCATTCGACGGGTTCCGGCCACGCATTCAAATTTGACGAGGCTGAAATTCTCGCAAGAGGTGACAATCCCGTGAGCCTGGAGCTGCTTTAGTCGTGGTTTACTGGCCCCCAGTCTATTAACAAGTGCAATGATCTTCCCATTCCATACTCGGTGCTGAAACTTCGCCTAGGCGGAGTAATTGGCCACGCGGGGAGCGCACAGGTGAACACTCTTCCCATCGTCAGGGTCGGTGCGTCAGATGGTCGAACAATCATCACACCAACATCCAACGCACGTGATGAAATTGCAGCAATTAACGACGCAAATGTCGGCCATCACGCCACGTGCAATGATCCCTGATGAAGGGGGGAGCTGTGAATATTCATAGGTATGCGGTTGCATGGCGATTGCATCCTATAAATACTGCAGCCCCTTATGCATGAACCATCCTTATCTGCTTTTGTCTCTGATGATGGGTTCGAGCAGGAATCCGAAACGTCAGGCTAATAAAGCTCTTGTCCCGGCGATCGTGTCTTCTTCGTCTTCTTCTTCTTCAAGAAAATATGCTTCCTCTGACTTCCGCTCATTAAACTTTCAAAATAAAACGATTAGTGAAGGTTTTTGCCAGTGTTTTTAGCTCCCAATGGATAACGATAGGGTGTGGTACCCACAAATAGATGGCGACTATGAAAATTCGCCCTAAAATTCAGTGTAACTGTTAACATCACTCATTACTCATCGTTCCCATCGTTTGAAGTTTCCTTCCCTTCCTGACTCAATGTAACCTTACCAGTGACGTTTTATCCAAAGTCCATCACTTTTTGAAAGTTGATTTTCGCTTATTTTTTAGTTATCGCGCTTACTTTCTTTGCCGAATGACAGCGCACGGTAAAACTTTAGGCATAAATTTATCTATTTTCTCTGTCTTCTCGCTCGCCGTCCTGCGTGTTACCTTATCCGTTAAACCCCCTCTACCACCATTCGACGTACGACACGGTCCAATGGCTAGCTGAAGCTAGTCGGGGGTCCTGACGTAGATGTTAATGTTCTCACGAACTAACGAGTTATATCTCACGAGCCCCTAGCCTTAAAGGCAGCAAGTAAAACTGAACAGTTAATAATATAGAGATTTTCAACGTTAAGAAGCGTGAGAAAAAGGTTTTGTGCCAAAAATAGAAGCCCCAACTTCCGGGCTACCCTCACCGACCATTTGGATGTCAGTCATCTGATGTCACCAATTTGGTCGGCTGTTGTAAGTCACCTGCCACTTAAGAGGACTTGGGGGTGGGGCACCGCCGGCTGTGGCAAACCACACGCCCATTCCAACCCTACCCCTCAGGCCCCCCCCCCTCAATGTCGTCACCTTCCCTGCCTGACGTGCGAAGTCGGACACTAGTCTTCCTGGCCCTTATTTTTCCAACGTCGACAGAGGCGGGGGGGGGCGTGGGGTGCTGGATTTTCAACAAGGGTTTCTGTCTCGTCAGATAGTTGCCGTCTTCGCGCTCGGGTTTGACAATACCTGAGCTGACCAAACAGAAGTTCCCCAGTAGTGTCAGGAAACATAGTTTAGATCAGGCAGTCGAGCAATGAACTTCGGTTGTTTTCGTGCCGACTGGAACTTCAGACTTACAGTAGATGTGTTAACTCATGCAATGATAGCCGAAATTTTGAAATGCGTTTTCGCCTCAAAAAGATTACTTAAGTAGGGTCGTAAAATTAATCACCCTGCAGCATAATCCCATGATAATTTAGTTTCTTCAGGATGCCGGCTTTCGAACGAACTTCCTTCTGACCGCCGGCAAAAATTACGATCGGTAAAAAGTGACTACTTACGAAGTACGCCATTTTCTCGCTTATTTTCGACGCCCTTATAAATTAACTTATATTTCTTGGCAAGCATGCAAAAAATATTCATTCTTATACTCAATTTCGATCGTTCTCTCACGTGCAACCGCCGCGAGCACATCTGAGATTCTATGTAAGTGGTGCTGACCAATCATGGGCGTGTAGTTCTGACAGGAGCTCAGATTTAGGGCCATCACGGGCGGCTGATCGACAAGAAGTTAGGATGTTTTATCGATAAAAATAAAATCAACCGAGATCGCCGCTTCTGGTGTAGTTGTCGTCGCCATAACGTCGGGCCAGTATGCACCACTGCCTCGTGAGTATGAATGTTCTCGATCACAGCCGACAGGGTGTACGGATGTGCACAGAATGAACATGGGTTCAAAATAGGAGTAGTGTTATGTCTGGCGGACGACTGCGAAAAGATCGGAAGCGGAGATTCAAACCTCAGCTCCCTCTATCGAGACTGGTCAGAGACCTTCAAGCTCCTCAAAAAATCCACTATTGATTAAGCGAACTGGTTCTTCTGGTTCTTCTGTGCGGACATCTGCTATGTCACATCAGTCGACACCTTTACGGTCGTCGCGTCCTCCATAAGGTGGGTACAGCATCAGTGGCTTGTGCGTAGATGGGGCAGACTTGCACGGCATCTACCGCCCTCTGTCCCCTCCCTCACCCGCCTGGTTGCGATGACAGCATAAGGCTGAGACAAACCAGGGCTTGGGCTCAGACCCAGTGGATGACAAGACCAAACGATCCGTCTACGCGTGCCACACACATGACCTGGTCCGTAGACACGTACTTGACTTCTGCAAAGGCGGCTCCGTTCTTACATGCATGAGAGTGGCGCGATGGTCGCATTATTAAGGAGCCATTGCAGTCAGATTGTCAGTCCTGCGACGGATCGAGTTATACCGTCACTTGGCAACCTTCCGAGTCACGACCTCCGGTGCGTCTTGACAGATTCAAACGAGTCCCTCTTCCTTCTCACATTCAATAGTTCATTTTCCGAGCCCGTCGACCACTTAGTAATGGGAGTGATTGCAGTGGCTAACGTCGCACAAACACCTATGTTTGGGGCGTGCCACACGTGCAGAATCCACGCCCCTGAAAGACACGTGACGTGATCCTGGCTGACGCCCCGTTCTGGTCCGGTGTCTCTTCAGCGTGACGTGTTAGGGTGAGGGAGGGATACGCCGTACCAATCACTGTACTTTTCACTCGCTAAGCGTCTTTTCGCAAGTGCGCATGCATGTTCCATGCTCCCTTCTTAGCCATTTTGGAGTGTTAAAAGATCAAAGCTCGGAAGCGACAAAGAAGAATTTTGGCCTGCAGTAGGTGACCTAATTCATGAAATTTCGCGATCGACATTTGAGACGGCAGTAACACATACATTTGGTGTGCTTATTTTCGTTTACTGAATTGATTTGGGGCGCAGAAAGAAAAATTCATTTCAAGTCTTTTCATGGAGGGAAAACAGGTCAACATTAGGCGAAATCGAACGTTTACCGATATCAAAGTCACTTCCTACGTTGTTTTTGCCCGTCGTGCTATAAAGAAACCCGGACAGGTCTGCAGGCAAGCAAGACAGTGATTTTGTCCGTCGTACACTAAAAACTTGTCTCCATATGCCACATTAAGGCTATTCACACGGAATGTTTTTCAATGTTTCCTCTGCGTTCAAGTAGGAAACGAATAGAATAATCCAGCCTTCATCAGCAAAACGCCATGACAAAGTCATTTTTAAGTAAGAAACTTATTTAAGGACGTTTTTTGCTTGACTAAAAAAATTGACTACAGACTTTTATTCTCTCAAGGCCTTACTTTTGTGATGAAGAATTATTTGTAGACAAGCCTCCGAATTCGGCCTAGGTAGTCATATGTGGGAAGAATCACCCATGAGGAAACATTGAATCGACGACAACTTTCAATAACTGCCAACGCCTGATGGTTTGGATGGCCATCAAATTCGGAGAGCGGTCGACCTGACGGTCAACAGCAAGACCCATCCATAGCTAGGCGTTCATTGATATTGTAAAGGATGTCTTCAGTTACAACGGCATTCATCAACGTCAAATGGACACTGTAATTTTGCAGGATAATGCCCCTGTTCGCCGTACAGAGGAGTTATGATTCTAATTTAGCTCTTGACTAATTTAACTTCTGGACCACAACCAGGTTTTCCACCTGCGACCGACAGTCCTGACCCCGGCCCCATCGACAATCATTTTGCGCTATTCAGAAGACATTAGGACAAAGCACGAAAAGACCTTGCTTTTCAGCAAAAGCTGGATTTCGTGCTTAATAATTGTATAGACCAAACCACCATAAACAACTTAGTAGTCTCTATGCCCCGCCGACTTACCGCAATTAAAAAATCAAAAGGGCAGTCAAACCATGGCTAATACGCTGCGTTTGGTATCGTCAATCATCATTATTTTGTCGTTGCATTCCATTTTCCTTCTCTGCTTTCAGTTATGTTCGGTCTCAAGTAATTGGCCTGTCAGTAGGTCGTTTTTTTTTTGATTGGATGGTTTCCGACAGAATAAATTATTTCTTAGTCAATAAATAATACTTTACACAGCAAACTTTACTTTCTTCTGAGGAACGGTCATTTCTTTAGCGCAGTATAACTTTCGGGAATACAGGTTGGACGGTCCGTGAGCTAGAGGGCGTTTTTTGAACTCAGTTCGTGACCTTTCTTCTGAAAGGTCATCGAAGTATTCTGAGCGCGATCTGGAGAGGCCTTGCAGACGTGTCTGGTTTGGTTGACGAAACTACGGACGCCCAAAAATCAAAATGGGGAGCACTGGCATAAGGGAGGTTTGAAAATTCTTGATGAATTTAGGACTTGTCTGGAATTCTGCCCTTCTCATCTGAACTGCCTTTTGCTCTGAGAACAGTGGACTATGCTGATTGTTCCGTTAGTTTGCACGGCGACCTGTTTTACAGCAAGCGAACAAACTACTAATTAGTCAAACGCTCGGTCACTTGCGAACCAGTCGCGCAGAGAGACGGCCGAACCAGTACCTGGAGCACCAACATACAGCCAGCACACCCCCCTCGGCATATTCAGTCATCGCGTGGACCTTTTCGGCCACATGCGCAAACATGAACATTTGTCACTGAACACCGTCGGTCAAATCCCATCTTCTCACAAGCGCATACGCCAGACACGAACCGCTCCCTCATCGCCATCACAATCACGGAATGGGCACTGTTATGGAGAGTGCAAGCGGCGTAGAGCCACAGCCTAAGACGCTGAACAGGGGACCAAGCCGGCGGCGTGAGACACGTGTGAAGTTAGACGGCCGACCGGTGTGCTCTGCAGTGCCGAGCACGTGTGGTGACTTTGCTCACGTGCGCAGCCCAATCAACGGCTGGTCGAACATTCCAGACATTTGCGCGGGGGGGGGCTATCGCGCACGCGGCGGCCAATCAGCGACCAGCACGCCCGGGGCAGGAGCATTCTAGAATGCCCTCAACGGCTAACACGTCATTGGACGGAATGTTCCAGAACGCACAGGAGCCAGTATAAATAGCGCATCTTCCTTATGAGTTGGAACCCCTCGTGTCCGCAAGTTGCCAATAAAATGCTTGTCCTCCGAACCGGCTCTCTTCCTGTCCTGTCATAACAGGCACCTCTCACGCAAATGGGAACCTTACTCTTTGGCTTCTTCTCCTTGTGGCCCCTCTGCTACTCTAACGCATATGCGGTCCGAATGGTCCAGCCCACCCCTCTGTGAAATCCTGGCGTTCTGTGTGTGGCACGCGTAGACGGACCGTTTCCAACTCTGTCAGCCATCTCTCCTAATCGTAGCACCAGTTGACTCAGACCGGCTCAGAAAATCTACCTGTGAGGGGGAATAGAGAGGGAGGTCGATTCCCTCACCTCGTTTGCCCGACTAAAAACAGTCCGACGCGTTTGAAGAGCTGTCACGGTGCGCTAGAAGCCGTGGCTTGGAAGGCTCGTAGCGGACAGTTATCATGACCGGTCTGACGTCCTTGTTCAGGACCTCGCTGTCTCAAGGTCATCCACCCTTTTGTAGTGAGCCGTTCCAGGCGCGCTGACCTGAAGTCACACGACCGACAGCTCGGGCACACCTGCGTCCGCACAGCCGCAGCTGCCCATGCGGCCACTCGAACACGCCACCCTTTTGTAACCACAACCTAAGCCACTGGGACACCACCCCTCGGCAAATGCAACACACACTGACTGGACACCAATTGAGCTTGGCCCACGAGCCTACAAAAGCGGCTGCCACCACTGTGTCAGTGACTCCCAGACATGACTGGACGCAATCAACACCAGCCCCGGCTTTGCCGCTGGCCACTGTCGCCTGAGAGGGCAACTCCGGGTTCTGTGCACAATAAACCCCTCATTCTGGTGCCTTTTGTCTTCTCCCCTACAACATTAGGATTTGACCTGATTATGGTGGCGTTCAGACTACACGCTCACACCGCTTGAACACAACAGGCTGCCAACTAATTGTAATGGCTCCTTCTTGATGAGGAGGCATTTATGGCACTCCCACGCAGTTGGAATCCGAGTTGTCTTCCGTTTTCTTGTTGCGTGAAATCTTAGTTCCTTGTGCGCTGTCCAGGGAGTGTGGTTGTACACCTAGGTGCGAGCTCACGCCGCGTTAGCCACCTGAGTCCCATCTCGCCGCCTCCGACCTTTCTGAGTGCACCCAGGTGGGGGGAGGATGAAAGAGTGAGTTAGATGCAGAGCAAACCCACTATCACGCGTAAATCACCGTCCCTGTACCCACCCTACGCTGAGGCGGACGGTGAAGATTGATGGAAACGACGGTCAAACTGCCAGTTTGGGACCTGTCTTATTTCGACTCGCAGATCCTCCAGTGCCACCGTGGTTGCACCTGAGCGTCACTTTTGGACGAGCTGTTTTTTTGCTTATTTGACTTTTTATAGATGTTTTGGCAGATTTTGAATTATGTATTTTGACCCAACTGTGAAGAACTCGACGACCTTGTTGGGAGACTAAGTACAGTCAACGCTTTAGCCACCAGAGCTACGAGGCCCCACTGGGAGCCGGGAATTCGATTATGTCAAGTTTACCCGCCCAGCCTACCGCGACGGTTAGAGTAAGCGTTGTCCATGAAAGATTGTCTAATTAATCCACCTACTAAGTACGTGAGTCTGGTAGTCATCTCGTGGATTCTAGGTGAATTACTTAGGAAATCCTGCCTGGGCAGTCAGTTTACTGCATCAGATTTGGTGGATTCCAGACGTTGCAGTAGGTTGGGCGGGTAAATTGACCCAAATGTGATTAAAATCGCGTCGTCCGGCGGGGCCTCGTAGCTCAAGTGGTTAGAGCGTTGGCTGTACTTAAGCCTCCCCCTTACTGCGTGGGTTCGAATCCCACCGAGGCGCCGAGTTTTTCACAGTTGGGTCAATATGAATTATTCAAAATCTGCCCAAACATCTATGAATTACGTAAGCCTAGTAGTCATCTGGTGCATTCCAGATGAATTACTTAGGAAATCCTGCCTGAGCAGTCAGTTTACTGCATCAGATTTGGTGGATTCCAGACGTTGCAGTAGGCTGGGCAGTTAAACTTGACTTGATTAAATTCGCGGCTGCCAGTGGGACCTCATAGCTCAGGTGTCTAGAGCGTTGGCTGTACTAAAGAATTCAACTTGCTATCTTTGGTTCAAATACCACCGAGGCGCCGAGTTTTCAACACATTTGTCAGATCAGATCAGATCAGATCAGATTTATTAAGGGAAAGGTAGGCGAGCGCCTCTGAACTCCCTTTTGGTTACAATAACGTCATAAAAAATACAGTGTGTAAGGCAAGTGTCAAAGAAAATTACGTAAGTAATTACATACAACAAACACTGGTCACTGGTATAAATTTGCCTGTGAATGCTTTCTATGTCAAAATTGTACAATAACCAGTACGGTACTGAATGGACCAAGTAGTATCGAAGCATATGCGCTTGCAAAATCTACACCTTTAGCTTCGAAATTCCTTACATTTCGTACATATCTGGCAACAATTCCTATAATTTTACTTGCTGGATAGAAGGATGTCTGTACTAAAGCATTCTCCTTGTTGTCGTGGGTTCGAGACCCACCGAAGTCGTCGAGTTTTTCACAGTTTGGCAAAAGAAAATTGTTTAACTTTACCGGCCGACCATACCCTAACTGGATGCCCAAAAGTCCTTGGATTGGAACCTGGGGGGTGAGGCTGTTTTGAAATCCAACGCTCTATCGCATGCGGCTAATGGTCAGTGATCTGACCTGATTGCAGTAGGCGACGTAGGAGGCTGTTTAAATTACTTGTAGCGCTACCACGGCCCATTTCACGTTAGTCAGCACCGTTTGTTCGCAGATGTTAGAAGCACTGTCGGTATCTGGGTTACTTCGTGGCACTTGGCGCGAACGTCTCCACAACGCATACCTTCCTTCTTCCGTTCCCACTCACAGGGGGTGGCGAAACGTGTTTCTGCCTGTTTGCAGGTTACTTTACTCCGTGATCTGACATCCGGGGCCGAGAAAGGGGACAGGCTGAGGTATAGACTCTGGTTGGAACCCGTTTCTTACGCGTGTGCTCATAGCGAGGTCGCAGGCTCTCAAAACCACTCATAAATCAAGACGATTAACTTACATCCTGTTTATCATTCATGAGCAGTGAGAAGTCACAAGGTCCAGAAAATTCCGCACATAAAGCAGAATATGGCTAATCACGTTAGCATAAAATAAATGTGCTTGCTTGTTTGATAGACGGACTACCGGGGATTGACAGGAGGTTTTAGGTCGATCAAGCAGTTTGCACAATTATCTGGAGGTAGAAGGGGGAACCACTAGGTAGGAGCTTTCTCGACTGTATCTGAGTAGCTTCACTCACCCATAGGTTGTTTTTTTGTCGTATCGCACGTATAGTTTTAGACTTGGTCATGTCGACTGGCGGTGATCAGCTCTGGCTGCTTGGTTTCGCATTTAATTTCACATAGCATTGTTGCAGGCTAGTCTTCAGTCTTTCCATAGCGAACGAAAGGACAAATGTTAGCTTCAGCCAATCACCGAACGGAAAATTAGCAGTGGGTGCATACGGTGAGGTTCTGGTTGCCTCCCATCTGGTAGACCTGAACTAAAGCATTCGAAGTGAAACACTACCTTGAGAGGCAGAAATCACAGAATAACGACACTGCTTCTTAGTGTGGGCAGACTATCTGCCAAAGGTATAACATTTTTCTAGCAAAATTGCCAGGCAACGATCGGGAGAAGGCCCTCAAACACACACGACCAGCCAAAGGTGTCAGTCTCACGGGAAATATGGTGATGGGGATTTTACGGGCGGGGCCTATGTAGGCATACAGGAACGGCTAAATAAGTATAGATAATTAGTAAATTTGTTTTTCGGTCAGAAAAGTTTTCATGTAACAACCAAAATTAAGCAGGACAATTAAAAAAATAAACACTAAGTGTCTACAACGATGACTTCTCAACTCTCTGAGCTGAAGCCGTTGTAGATAATGCGCCAAGCCGTCTACAACAGACGACCCAACTTTTTACGATGAAACATCAAACGGAAATAATCGTGTCCGACCTAAATCCACTTCAATAAGTAGGTATTGTTTGCATGCCACAGATGTTTGGAGACCTCAACCCGATCCGTACCCATTGCCATTTGGCCTAACAGAAAGTTAAAGTGGACAGCAATAGGATGCATTATCAAGAAATGATAAATTTTGCAAAGTAGTATTGACAATGTAAACGTCAAACAGATACCAGTTGCTCAAAAAGTTACTACCTGAAAATGGAGCCAGAGACGATACTGGATTTTGTCCGCATGTTCCTATTTGTGAACGCTTGCGGGTTCATCTGACCAATGACCTCACAGAAGACACTGTAATTGTCCTAGTATAACATAAGAGATATGCTTCCACCTCTTTGAGCCGGAATAAATGCCACTGCAAACAATTCCAGAACATACAAGTAACCAAGAAGATCAGAAAGAAACGGGCACGCGCTCGCAACACTTTGCATCACCACCGGTGATTAATGGCAAAATATTTGCAGTTCATGGGCTTTTAATCTTATTGCACATTTGATATTTCGATCTCATACTGTCAGGTTTTTTCTCGCACCTCTGCAATAACAACTGATCTCCATACCCACAAACTCCACTAAATTTAACAAACCCTAACCCCATTGTATGTCTTAGCCTATTTTCTCATAGAATTGATCGGCCAAATCGGGAAAAACCATCTCCTGCTTGCTCACAACTCTGGACTTTAATCAGACCGACCTAAACTGGAAGTGAACACAAATATCCGAGGCAACCTCCTTGATTCGATCGACAGTCTATTTTTTAATTTGTTGGGTGGACTTACCGTGCAAATAACCAGATTTCTGCTTCCACTACGAACAGTTATTCAGATCGGCTGCCATCACATGTACGCCATCGTAAGCCATTTCAAAATATGGGCACCAAACTGTCCGGATGCATGATGTGCAGTCGCCATCAACGACATCTTGCAGACGTACGCGTCTGGCCCAGTGCTCTGTAACGCCGGCTATAGGTTTGGAATTTCCATCAGCAGACTACATCCTTGTCTGCTCGGCAACACTTCTGCAGAACCATCACTGGCCCTATCGACAATAATATGAACTCAATTCCCACCTGTCACAATTGCAAGGGCATTTTCTCATCACACATAGGCGTGGTCGGTCATTTGTGGCACGGACCCAGGTGGGGGAGGTGCGGCAGATGCAGCGCAAGTCCGTCGGCTTTGCTCTTACCCCGATGTGGAATACCCGGTGGAAATCATCAGTCACGACTGTCAAAATGTCGTAGGTCGAGTGAATAGCTTGAGGATTGGAAACCGGACTGCAATTACTCCCTCTTAATGCGGTCTTCGTGGAATTCTCAAGAACGTGAGATCGGAGTCCTCCTTTCTGTCAAAACCTGGTACATTGTACGAGAACCATGTCGTGTGTGTGGCACGCGTAGTCAGGCTGTTTAGTTTTGTCAGCCACCGCGTCCGAGCCCGCCTGCGGTTGTCCTGACTTTGCTGACTTTGCCGCTGTGTGCAGGCGGATGAGGAAGGAGCGGATGCGGAAGGTTGCGCGCAAGTAAGTCTCATCATAAAATAATTTCCGTACAGGTCACCGGAACTGCTCCCATTGCCGGGGAGAGGGGAATAAGAGGGAAGTCGTAAGTAGCAACGGTCGAGCAGCCATTCATTCACGCCAAAAAGGGCAGGTAAACTGTCCTAAAGATGTGAAGAAGAAGAAGAAGAAGAAGAAGAAGAAGAAGAAGAAGAAGAAGAAGATAGGCTCCCCGGAACAGGCTTATTTAAGTGCTGACGTTTCAAAGAGCTGGGTCGGCTCTCCATTGTCAAAGCATAAAATGCACTTAATCGATCAGAAATTTAATTTAAAGTGGCCTGTTGTGTTGGTCGGCCTCATGCTGATCGATTTTTTTCTCCTTTCGCTGCCTCGGCCGTCTCTTGGAGATGGTTGACGGGCGTTTTGCCTGCATGGTTTGTGAATCACCACTCCGTCGGGGGAAGCTAATTGAACCTTTGTCAGGCGGTCGGTCTGGCTGTTCTTGTTCTCCTTCACCGAGTACCTTCGCCGCCGTCTGTGTCCGTACGGCCTTCTTAAGTCCGCTGTGGTTGTTTGGTCCTGAGCTCTACGATTGTGATGACGTAGAACTTTGTAAGCTGTAGGAAGATCCAGATGTCTGTTGATGGAGTAGGCATCGGAGAACCACGCCTCGAGAGGTAGCCGTTCTGCTTTTGTGTTGCCTCGACCTAAGATGGTAGCCCTTGTGGAGGTCAAAAGTATGCCCTGTTTCGCCAACGTGTGTTGCTAGTTGAGAGTTAGAGTCCAACCTCCGTGTGGCCGATTTGTGCTCTTGTAGGCGAGTTTGCAATTTCCGCCCGGTCCTAAAGATTATTTGTTCTGTCCCTCTGGTCAACTTACAAGGGTCACCTAGGTTCCTATCTGCAATCGATTGGTGCTAAATAGAAATGATATCAACACTCTTCTGCTAGAACGACTTCATTCCCTCTGACCGTTCGAAATAGCCTTTATCTTTTAGATACTTCAGCATTCAACTACCCGAAAAGAGGGTAGACCCTCATCGACCGCGAACGCTCCCCCGGCCCCAAGCACACAGGTAGGAGTCGTCACTCTTGTGGATGCCGATTCAAGGAAGTGACAACATGACACCTTCTTCCGGAGCAGTTCCGATTAAAAAGAACGGCGCGATGTTATAGGCAAATCCACTATCGGCAACGGTATTGCCCAAATGACGAATTGCATTCCTGAAAGGAATCAAGTGTTGTCGTCAGCGTTTAAATTCCAACCACAGCAATGCCTTATGGCGTGGAGAGCAAAGTGCCTAAGAAAACTGTCTTCCTTTTGCGGACCTACTGAAAATGGGAGACTTCATTGACCTCGGGGACTTCAAGACGCCATTAGCCTTATTTAAGCCACTTAAGCTGTGTGCTCGATTGTCATGGGGTCGTCAGTCATAGCGGACTTCTCCCTCTAGGGATCGGAATATAAGAGGACAACCGTTTCGACTCTCTCGAGCGATGATGTCTACTGTGTGTCTCACAACTTGGTAGACACAGTAGGGTGACTTGTGTGGGAATTAATATGTGCTGATAGAAGACTTACGCTGCATCTGCTGCGCTCCCTCCCCCCCTCCCCCCACCCACCTAGGCCTCGTGGAAAGACAGCGTCAGGACGATCGGGGGGGGGGGCGAGCTAAAACGCAGTGTCCGGCAAAGCCAAACACCCCGTCCGTGCGTGAAAACACGATCTGGTTCTGCAACATGTACTAGGCTCCTGATAGGACTGGTCGGCTCTCACGTGCCATAGAATTCCGGCTCAGAATCCGTCTTGAAAGTCCCATTTGACCCAATCAGCTTCCCACTTTAAGACATGATGCAGTATGTGACCTTTCTCATGCAATCTGATAACGGAAACCGATGCGAGAATTTCCGGACGTCTTTAACGTTGCACATTTTGTTCGCTCATCCACTTCCTTCAATAAAATGTCCTTTTCTTGCTTACGTAAGTGTACCAAGTAAAGTGTCAGAAAATTTTGACAAAAATGGACGTTGGAATATTTTCGTGCAATTTCCTATGCTACTGCATGTCCTAGACTTTGGTTGCGCATCTGAGAGACTTTTTCATTGAAAGGATAGTAATTTACCCCCGAGAGTTCTAATAGACAGATGTAGCCGAACTTGGAAATTTATTTTATGTCCGATGTTAACCGTGGTAATCAACCTGCTAACACAAAGTATTCAACGACATTTCGAGACCGATCTGAAACTCAACTTAATGTAAAACGAACGAAAAGTGTAAATTAGTTTAACGGAAGAAAAGTTCTCTCCATAAACACAAAATGGTGTGCTTACGATCACGCCTGTCAGTTCTATTTAAATTTATTAGACACCAACCGGCCTCAGGCATGTCACCTTATGAAAACGTTTGTTACTACGACGTCCCCATCGGTGAAATCAAGCAAAATCCAGTTTCTCTTGTTGGACCGCATCTCATTTACTTCAAAAGATCCAAGGATAACACGAAAGCCTGGAAAACTGTTTTGGAATCTGCACTCAGAATGTAGGCAGTTGACAAACCGTCATATACAAAACCACGCTACTTATTAAACGATATTTAGATGTAAACTTTAGTAAAACACTATTATTAGACGCTATTTTTACTTTCATATTTACTACGTTTTTGGTATGAGAATACACTCTCTAGACCTAAAAACGAAGTTTACTAAATTAGAGCCATTTCTGATGCTTTCGGGATATTGAGCTTTTCAAAATAAATCGGCATTTCTAAACAACGCAACACTCCCTTTAATATTTCTTTTATGTTTTTAGTTCTTTTAAACTTGTACTTAATTAACATAGACATTGGACTCGAGAAATGGTGTCGGTTTGTGTGTGATTGGAAATCATTCGTAAATTTCGACACATTTAATGAGTAAGGTCATTAACTGTAGACTCAAGTGTCAGTCAGATTTATTATAGTACGGAATGTGCGGATTTGCCGTGGAGATGGATCCTCTGTCTCCTGTACATCAGTCGGCTCTCCGGGCCTGTCAACAATCTGCACTGGGTGCAGCGGCTGCTACAGCTTGCAGCCTGGGTGTCCCGCCACACCCCATGTGTGAGGCAGTAGTTGCGGAACCTGCGCAACCGGATTAACGCGCGCCGTGACCCCCGTTTCGGACATGCGCGTCCACAACGTGATTCATTGTGAGAACATCCCCTCCCCCCCCCTTATCACAAACAACGTCTTTTCTTCCTTCATCTGTGAGAAGGTAACATGAAAGTACCCAGGCTCGCTTGATAATCAAAGACTAATTTACGCGGTTGTTATGTGGCGTTCATTGAAACGTGTTAATAGCAGATGCGATGTGGGGTGGCGAACGGTGGGTCCACTCATCTTGCAACTGTATCGCTAAAACAAAATTTGCTGGAACTAGATACTTCACTGTTTAACGAGGCAGAACGCAGGTTAGACCTTGCCTCTAGGCTAAATAACAGAGTGAATAAAATACTGAAAATAACTGAACCAGCCTGTGCAGCGTGCGTTGTAGCAAGGCTTCGAGGTAACTGGACTTACCTTTTAGTAATATCACGTGATCTAGCACCTAGCCCGCAAGTAAGGTCATGTGCATTGATGAACTTTAACGACTCTGCAAGCATCACCGGTGAACGCGATGAACTCGTGAAAATCATGGAGGCAACAAGCTACTGAAAATCCACCTAAAATATTCTCCTCCCAGACTGCCTGACGACCCACAGGAAAGCATCACAGGAAAGCATCACCGTCGACGAATATATTTTCAGGCACGGTAAATAGAGGGGCTTATGAGTTTGTGGACAACTTTTGGTCTTGTAGGTCTACTTTTCAACTAAATGGAAGATTTGCTGGCGTATTAGCCCGGCTAACATGCTACGCATCCGATGACGTCGGAAAAGCGATACTTTGCGTGGGGTGTCAGTGTACGAGGCCAAAGGTGCACAGGCGTCCTTCCAGACCAGTCTAGGGGTTGACTAAACCCCTAGTCATGGCCGCCATCCGATGCCTGAACTTTCTCGATCGATAGTGAGTGCGCTGTGTTCTGCGGGAGAGCATCTACGCCAATTGAAGAGAGCTGCGTTCTAAGGAAGAAGGAGAAGAAGAAGAAGAAGAAGAAGAAGAAGAAGAAGAAGAAGAAGGAGGAGGAGGAGGAAGAAGAGGAGGAGGAGGAGGAGGAAGCTGAATTTCTTGTCGTCCATAATTCTAATAGGGCATTCCAGGCGCCGCCCCTGGCTCGATAAATTTCATGATGAACAATCGAATAGAATAGAATTGACGTTTGTTCAGGCAATCGTCGTTTGGAATCCGAGGGACTGGAGGCCAAACATTAGGTGTCAAAGTCTGGCGCATATAAGTTGCGGCAGGTAAGGTCGCGGGGCGTGCGGCAGTCTGCGCAATTCAGTAGTATGGCGAAGGGAGAGTACGGTCGAAAAATGAAGGAAGTAAAACACGGGACGAGAAAACAAAAAGGGCAATCTGCGACCACCCTGGTAGAGCCAGATTAATGACGCGATAGGGCTCGGTTTTACTCTGCGAGTCCAGATCACCTCCATATGAGGGAAGCCCTGAATTGTTCAAGCGTAAATGAGGATTAAGACAGCAAGTTGCGGATTTGCGGGACGCCAGCTGTCTAGTAAGTTTTTTGTAATAAAGGGACACAACTTGCCAACTGCGTCTTCCTTCCCCATCAACTCACGTGGCTGAACCGTCTCCTGGACCATCTAGAAGGCAAGGCTGCATAGAATCTCTTCTCGTCGGAACTCAACCCCGACTGACGATGACGCCCTAGTGGACGGCTGGAGGCGTGGGGGGGACGCATTGAAAGGGGAGCATTAATGTTGCTCGTTGTCTGCACTCTGTCTGATTGGCTCAGCTTTTCCCGGCAGTTTGATGTCATGGGAGGACCCTCATTCAGACTCCGGCACATATGTAGTATTGGTCGCCGACTGAATTACGTATGGCGCACAGCGTCACAGGCAGAAGTAAGTCAGTATATATAAGCACCTTGCTGTTCCTCTCAGACTTGGTACTTTTCGAATGTTAATTTGCATTTTTCTTGGAGTCGGCGGTCCAGACTTAAGCTTCCGAAAGACAGGGTCCGATTAGCCTTTAGCTCACATCGGTACTCCCGTTCTGCCCTCATTCTGTGCACGTCACTTGAGCTCACTCGACATGATCTAAACCCGTTTTGCAGCGGTAAGAGTTGTATCTCGTGATCGGCTGATTCGGATTGAGCCCACGGGTGCTGAAAGGCCTGGGCTAAGGAATGGCCATTCCAGTGCAATGGTTCCAGGGCAATGATTCAGTTCCATATAGTAGGTAGGCTAACTCATGAAATGTCAACTGAAATTCCGAAATGCGTTTTCGCTTCAAAAAGACTAATTAAAAAGGACTGTAAAACTGCTCATCTTGCAGCATAGTTCTATAATGATTCAGTTACCTCAGGATGTCGGCTTTTGAAAGAATTTCTTTTTGGTTGCCCACAGAGACTACACTCTGTAAAAAATGACTACTTAAGTAGCATGCATTTTTCTCACTTATTTTCGATACTCTTAAAAGTTCGACTATATTTGGTGGAAAACATGCATAAAAATATTCACTCTTTGAAAATTTCAGTAGAAAATTGTCTTCTTTCAGCCTTATACTCAAAGAAAGCGTTTTATTCGGTTTTCAAAGACTTTTCCGATTCCCGAATAATTTTGAATCCGACTGGCCGTTACACTTGCATTCAGGATTTCCAAACTACAAGTCATATTATTTCCGCGTACGAAAAAACCATGCATTTCTCTGTGGTATTAAAAGAAGACCATATGGGGTTCATAAAATGTAGCAGTGGCTTTGAGCCATATTGTTAACTTTAAAAGTCACATTGGTAAATGCAGATACATGACGTTTTATGAACGGCCATTTCACAATATTAAAATATCTCACAATTAGAAACCTTTTTAAAACCGAATTATACCCGCACTTTGATTATAAAATTGAAATAGGACGTAATTTTCTACCGGATATTTAAAAGAGTGAATAGTGTTATGCATGTTTTCCGTGGACTACAATTGAATTTTCAAGGGCATCGAAAATAAATGAGAAAAATGCATGTTAATAAAGTAGTCATTTTTTTCAAAACATGGTTTTTCCATGCGGCCGGAAAGGAGTTAGTTCGAAAGCCGGTATCCTGAGATAACTGAATTATTATAGAACTATGCTGCAAGATGCTGAGTTTTACAGTCCTACTTAATAAATCTTTTCGAAGCGAAAACGCATTTCGGAATTTCGGTTGACATTTCATGAGTTAGCCCACCTAGTGTACCTCGTGATCGGCTGATTCAGATCGAGCCCACGGGTACTCAAAGGCCTGTGCTCAGAAATGGCCATTCCAGTGCCCTTATACTCTGTCGGTATCACTTCTTGCTTTGTTGACTGAGGTTAGTTGTTCACATAAAAGTTCAAATTATGTAATCCCAGCTACAGAATAACTTCTGCTTGCCCGCATTTTTCTTTCGACAGCAGCATAAATGTATAGGCCTGAGCAAGTTGTCCATAAACGCCCACGAGTGATTGTCAGGTGGTTCAGATGTATCGTTGAAAGTGAAATCGCATTTCTGATAATGGGAAGATAATTTGGAATAAGTTGTAACTATAACGGACTTATTGTGGAAGGACTCAGTATTATTACTATTCATATAACTTGTTATTATTAACTAAAACTGCATCTCTGATAATGAGTGTATAAGTTGGAATAAGTTGTAAGTAGAAGGGACTTATTGTGGCCTGGGAACATAACCTTGATCGCAATTTCTGCAGACGTTTGCGAAGATTTGGGTGGTATTTGCTTGCTCCGGTGGAATTTTAAATGAGCGTAGTATCTCATAAAATTGTCTAGCTGCGGACTTCTAGAGTACTAGGCTAACTAGGAAAACCGGTGGCGAGGGCTAACAGGCTGAAATCAAACTGACGATAATTACCTACACTGAGTTTCATCAGCTCAGTCGTATTTTAACGGCTTGCACCCATCGGAAAGCAGATGATCGACCTTATTGTCCCATCGGTCATTCTACATCTCATTTACTAAATCAGCCAAGTGGAGTTTTACACAGCGCATGAGTGTGGCACGCGTAGACATGGATTTGCTCTTACAGCCTCTTGTTATCACTGGCATACTGAGCGAGGAACGGGGCATAGAACAAAGAGGGTAAAAAGCGACTGTTCTTTTTAGAAAAACCCCTCTTTATCACAAATCCCCACTGCACCCTCCAAATATAGGTGGTCTCTGTGGCTTGTGGCGAATCAACCGCCTATTGACGGTTGCGCTAACATCCGCGAAGTTTTCGTGAAGCCAAAGCGACGTGGAGTGTCTCGGACATTAGGTGAAACTTGGGTTAATTTGCGGTCAATATTATAAGCCCGAAGGTACCGGAATTTGGGGGAGGAGGGAGGAGGGTTTCTTTTATGCAGAACCCTAAATTATTCTGTCCAGCAACAATGGCCACCGGTAAGGCCGGGGCGATTGCTGGCTGAGGTGTCTATGGCGTCGGCTGTGTCTGTGAGTTTGGGGGCAGCAAGTTGAAATTTCTTAAGTCCAGGTCGATGTTTTGCCTTATACGGAAAAAAGAAGGCTGTTCTTGTCCAAACGCAAGCTCATGGACCCACTGAAATAGGTCAGGCTGTAAGGTCAGCGCGCCTGATGCCGTTAGCAGAAAAGGTTAACACCCCTGCCCCATCAGGGTGTTGAAACAGAGCGCTAACGGCCGTCGGCTAAACACGTGACCGTTGGACCGTGGCAAGCGACGCCTGTCCTGCAGAATGGGAACAGCAACGGTGGCTTTGTCGCAAATTAATTTATATTGAGGCAAACTTTCACAGCGTCTACCTCACACCCTCCCCGTCACTCATCGGAACCCCGTGATAAGACGGAGTCAGAGCTAGTGCGCAATGGCTGACAAAGTTAACAGTCCATCTACGCGTGCCGCACACATGCCTAGTCCCTGCAGAATGTACCAAACTTTCATGAGATTGGCTGGGATTTCACATGGAGAAGAGTGCCACACGGACCGCATCATAAAGGAACCTGACTCTCAATTCTGGAAAGGAATGAGTTATTCCGTCAGGCGGTAAATCGCCAGGCCACGGCTCTTAGAGCGCCGTGATGAGAGAGAGAGAGACGATGCTGTGCAGTGAGGACCTGTCTCGCTCTCTGTTATGGAGAGTGCAAGCGGCGTAGAGACACGGCCTAATGCGCCGAACAGGGGACCAAGCCGGCGGCGTGAGACGCGTAGTTAGACGGTCGACCGGTGGGTACTGCAGCGCCGAGCACGTGTGGTGAGTTTGCTCACGTGTGAGGCCCAATCAATGGCTGGTCGAACAGTCCAGACGCTTCCACGGGGGGGGGGGGTGGGGCTATCGCGCACGCGGTGGCCAATCAACGACCAGCACGCCCGAGACAGGAACATTCTAGAACGCTCTCAACGGCTGGCCTGTCATTAGACGGAATGCTCCAAAACTCTCAGGAGCCAGTATAAATGGCACATCTTTCTTACGAGTTGTAACCCCTCGTGTCCGCAAGTTACCAGTAAAGTGCTTGTCCTCTGAATCGGCTGTCTTCCTGTCCTACCCTTCTTTCGGGTCATAACACTCTCAAGCACCGACAGGCTCCTAGAACACACATGCACGAGGCTTTTCACATGATTACCGGCGTTTGTCGCATGCCGGAATAACCTGCATAGTGTTTAATTTTATTGTAGTTAGCAGAGCAGAGGACCGGTGTATGTTGTTTCTATAGGAGATCGTTTGATTGGCAACCTTTTAACATTGAACTAAGATAAAAAATGGGAACCCAGGTAGCCCATCACTAAACACCGGGGGGGGGGGACGCCTACAGTAGATGTGCTTTGTCACGAGACGCTAGCCGAAATCCCCAAATGTGTTTTGGACTCGAAAATATTACTTAAGTAGGGTTCTATTATTAATCATCGTGGAGCACAACCACGACATGCTTCAGTCACGGCCTTTGAGGGAGTTTTTTCTCGACCGTCTGCAAAAGATGACTACTCAGAGGGTACGAGTTTCTCCCATGGATTTTCGATTTCCTTATAGGCAGGATGGTAGTTGGTAGCCCTGCCTACTGATTCTATAACTGTACCTACTGGATTAATTTCAGCAGCTGTGATTACGTTCTCATTATCTCTGGGAGTGCACGCGCAGAAGCCCTGTCAGGGTGACTTTCTTGTTCACTTTAACCGCC